AGAATACTGCTGAAAACATGACTACACAGTTCTCCTTTAGGTTTGTGATTTAAAAAAAAAAAAAGGGGTGTGCGTGAGTGGAAAATAATCCAAATTGGCAGTACTTGGGAGTCAAATTTTTATACGTGTTCGAAATACGTTGCGTATAATTTAGTTTCAGTGCACATACTATTCTTTTATTAGAGATGGACAGACAGAGATGGAGTGCAAATAGTCCACTCCAAAGTAAAACACTTAACAGTAGAGGAGCTCCAACGCATTTAATACAAAACTCATTGGCTTTGGTATCTGTATTGGATCCATATTGCAATAGTTTCCATAGCATTACTTGGCATCAAATCATAACAAAAGCCAGTAGCCCGTGACTAACATAAAATACAAAGCGCAAGAGCCTCGTATTGTGTATTCAGATTTAACCTTAACCCCACACAAGCACACAACTTATTCCATCCATTATTTGTCTGCTGAATTTCAGGTACCAGGTATTTTACTGGGGCTTAACTTTTGGTGTGGCATATTGAAGAAAGTGAATGGGGTGACATAAACACTTACAGACACCCTTTCACTCTCACGTGAATTCACTAATGACATATCAGTAAACTCCAGTATATTTATGAAGAGTGGGAGTAGATCTGTTACTATAATTACTATATCAACTTATCGTTCAGTATATGAAAGCTGGGACAATATACTTTTGGGTTCAATATTTATTATGTGTTGATTTTCTTTTCAACAGTGGAGAGATGTTATTTTAGTTGTAATCCGATAAGATCTAAGCTGTAAAGGGTTAAATAAAAAAATAAAAAAAACTTCTGTGGGTTCATTCTGCTATTATTGTAGCTTAGGCCTTTTAACAATACTGCCTATCAAGAAAATGGTTTACAGGGATTATCGTGCGTTATTGTTACGTTGTCAGTGACATAGTAGTAGTAAAGTAAAGTAAGTAAAGTAGTTTCAAAATATTATCATTTATTGTGATATTTCTCTTTAGTAATATGTCATGCTTTAAAATTTGGTAGTGTGACAGGCGTAAGTGGGAGGAAGCAGAGTCCCCAGAGTGAACCCATGAGAACATGAGGAAAGCTGGGAATTGAACTGTTTTTGCCAGAAAATATAATATTTATAAAATTCAGTTATGATTTGTTTTCTTCATGTCCCTAGTGTTAAAACAGATTTTACATTTGGATAGAAGCTGGCGATTGAATTCCTAGCTTTTTGTCAAGACCATGAAATGTTTAAAAAACATATTCCTATCGCCACATTCAGTCTTACTTGTTTTATCCTCAGATTTGAGAATACTACTTTCTTCAGCTGTGAGTATAGTACATTTTGTCCTATTTGTCCACATCTGTACTTTTGTCATCCTTATTACTCCTCCATTTCTGTTTTTGATCGCGCTAAAACATAAAAAAAAACTCCCAGAAAATCAAAGTAGTTTTTCTGCCATCACGTTCTGCCTCTTATCTCCACGTCCCAGTTTAGTGGAACAGCTGACATCACCAGCGCTAATACTATATGACCACCGTGCCCATATTCCACTGGCATATTTATAGATTTCATAAAAAGTGCATCAGAGAAGGTGAGATGAGAGAGCAGTAAAGATAGTGTCACTCCAGAATGCTTTATAACAACTTTCGTGTGCCTTTGAAACTAGCAGCAGTGGGAATACTGTACTGGGAATGACATACAGTAAATATGAGGCGTCCTTGCTTAGAGGTGCTTTACCGAAAAACAAATTTTCTTATACTGTCAACTCAGTCTTATGGTGTTATTTTAATATTCTAACCTACTCTAGTGCAAAATACAAGCTAAACACAGAATTCTGCAATTTATGTTGTTGTTGGTTTGACTTGGCTTTTTGTAAGAGAGAGACAGACAGAGAGATTTTATTGATCCCAAGGGAAATTCAAGTTTTGCTGCAGCAACATTACTCAGTCACCTTTGTGTCTCAGCCAAAAGTCTCTGTGCAGTTTAACAGGAAGTCTAGTGAGGTAGGGTCAGCAGATCCAGGTGAACACAACAGGAAAAGCCTCATTCCACTTTTGAGTTTCGGGTGGTGATGAAACAGTTCATTGCCTCAAAGTATTTCTTTTGGAAGGTCTTTTCCCACATTTGCGACCACATATGCAGCCTGTAGCATCTCAAATGTCCATAGCTAGTGGAATCCAACCACCAGCTATTCAACCTAAGACATTCAGAGTGAACAAAAGACATGCTTTGTAGTTAGTTAAATGGGGCGGCAAATGCAGGCTTTGCAATTTCTCATTGCACCAATTCAAATTATGATTTCAATTTGAATTGGATATTGTAGTCTCCAATTCGGTCTTTATATTTCAGATTCAAAATTTTACTATCATTGTCATAGATATAAAAACATGATAAAACGTGTATTAATAATGTATTCAGTTATGGTAATTATCATTTAAACGGTTTCCTAAATGCTAGAGAAAAGCGTAGGGCGTTGTAGATCAGGTCCTATTAAACAATATAGAAGCGACACTGTACTGGAACACTGCTGTGAGTGTGCGTGGGCTGGAACACTGGCCTTATTGTTGGGGTGGGACATCAGCAGCATCGTCATAGCCCACTGTAATCACGGCCAGTCCACATGAAAGACACTATTGACAAGGAGAGAAGTGTCCTATAGGCAGAGGAGACACATCCCAGTTTAATGAAAGAAGGAATGGGGCTGAAATAAGAGCCGCAGATAGCTCCCTAACCAAACTTCATTATTAAACAAGCGCTCGCCTTGTGCTTTGTATTAAGTCAGGCATAAACCAATGGACTGGGGAAATGACTGTACAGAGGTATGGAGGAGGGATATAAAGATGGTACTTAAGATACAGGGCTATTACAAAACGGTGAGAGCTGAAAGATTATTTGAGCCTGAAGGAGATGAAATGCACAGTCAATCACTTATACACCAATACAAGTTGAACTCATTTAGTCATTTTTACTATATTTGGATTGCATTTAGTAGTAGTAAAATATTTAGGGTGTACTTTAGTGTCCCAGTTGGAAGATTTGTCTCTGCGTATGACCCATCCTTCAGTGCTGCTGGGACAACCTGTAAGAGCCACTGGGGACGTATCCTCTGTATGTTTTGAGTTGGTATGGTTTGAAACAAGTTCAGTTATCAAAAAACTATCTGAAACCAAATGTATAGTTTCCCATGTAACTGTATAGACGTTTTTGGCATAGATATGTTTTTGAAGTCCTGGTACTATGCTTCAGTTCTCTACTGCTCCTGACAGGTTGCCCAAACAAAGTATGGTTCAAAATCAATGGATCACTTAATAGTAGAGATGTAACAATAACCGAAATATCGTGTATCGTCAGAGTTCTCCCAATAATATCGTGGACCATCACAGTATATCGAATGACAAGTGTCTTTGCTTAAATTAAGAGGTATGCTGCAGCAGTAGCAAAAAAAAACAAAAAAAAAAAACAGAGAGAACTACAGAGATACATACAAAATCCTTTGCTCCATTTCAGTGTAGACTATATTAGATAATAGAAATAACAGTTCTAAGCACTTTTAAGTTTTAGTTCTTTGGATTAAGTCTTGTCAAGTCATTTTAAGAGGAAAAAGTAGCATATTCACAGTTTTGTGAGCCTCCACAAAATATTGCAATAAATATCGTACCGTGAGATGTATATCGTGAAAATATTGTACCGAGAGATTTGGACATTGTTACATCATGAGCCTTCCCACCATATCGTGAGCTGGCCCACGATATCTCAATAAATGTTGCACCATGAAATTTATACTGTGACGATATCGTATCGTGAGGCTTGGATATCGTTACACCCCTACTTAATAGTACATTTGTATACCTTAAACTAAATTAATGGACAAAATGGTTGCTTGATTTCAAACAAAAAAAATTCTTCTTATAAAAAAAAAAAAAAAAAAAAAAAAAAACTGTATCTGAACTTTACTGTAAGAGTGAATGTAAGACTTTGGGTGCATTTCAGGATAGACTTTACTTTGTTACACCATCATCCTGTACAGCAGATACAGTGAACATCCAGAGCAGAACACTGTAGAATAGCTGAGCTTTTTGATTCTCACTTATTCTCTCCCTATTTTCACTTTTACCAATCTCTCCTCCATCTCCACAGCCTTTGTATTGACCTGGGATAGAGCCAAATAGCTTTGACTCTGTTCCCTTTTCACTGTCTCTCCTATTTTATCGGCTTCCTGCAGTTTCCCCTCTGTAGCTCCATGCTAAATATACAATAGAACAAGGATATCACTGACTCACCTTGTGGTTGCTATTCAAAAACGCATCCTTTTTTACTTGTGGTTTGACGCACATCTGAGTTCATTTATTTTGAGAACTGGTCATCAGATTTTTATGTACTTTCATATGATCCAGACTCAGGAGGTGTTTCAGGATTTATATCCGCAGACATACATCAAAATCAAGTGCTGTTTTTGCTTGTTAGTATCTTTCAGTATTGTGGAGAATTTGGGAATTGCGCGGACATGAACAAAGAGTTTATTAAGAATGATAATGATTGGGCTTGGTAAATACTTAAAGGAGCTCTATGCAACTTTTCAGGTGTACGATCCATCACCATGGAGGTTTTATTTCTTTTTCCGCAGTATGGTTTTAAATTTATCTGACATGCATTTATGAAATTATAAGTCAAGAATATCTTACCTTAAAATGAGTGAGGTAACTTCTCCACAGATATGACTTGTAACTTGGCATGGTGGTGTCTAGAACTTGTCTCTAGATATAAGTTTAATGCCATACTGTGGACCATTCCAGGCAAAGCAACAAAAACAAAAGCCCTCTACCAGAAAAAAATATGTAGTGTACCTTTATTTAATACCACAAACCTTACCCTTTAATTAAGTAAATGTGTAATATTATGAATTACATCTTATAGAGGTACCAAGATTTTCTTTTTCACTGAAATATAATGCTATATAATGTCACAAAATCATACATGTTTTACTGACATGTTTCTTGTCTTCTGTTCCCCAGGGCTGGTGGTCGATGTGAATGAAGCCCAGAGAATGAGGTTGTAAAATCAGCTGAGGACCTAAGGAAGAGGGAGTTGCTTCTGGAAAGCCACCAAATTGCTAAAGTCCCCTCAAATATCGAACGCCCCAACCAGGATTACCTTCACCAACTAAGCCTCCACTCCCTCCCCTCACCGCCATGTCCTCCCACCATTACCCCTCCCTCCTCCTCCTCCCAACCCTGTTCCTCCTCACCTCCTCCAGAACCTTCTCGTCATCACCATCCCCCTTTCTCTCCTTCTCTCCACCGGAAGGAGGGCTCACGCATTTGGTCGTCAACAACAAAACCGGCGAGATCTACCTTGGTGCTGTCAACTGGATTTACAAGCTATCGAGCAACCTCACCAAACTTCGGAGCCATGTTACCGGACCGGTCACTGATAACCCTCGCTGCTATCCCCCGCCCGGCGTCCAATCCTGCCCTCACGAATTAATCCAAACTTCCAACGTCAACAAGCTCCTCTTACTCGACGCCGCCCACAACCGCCTAATCGCGTGCGGAAGTACTTCTCAAGGGATCTGCCAGTTTCTTCGCCTGGATGACTTGTTCAAACTTGGCGAACCCCATCATCGCAAGGAGCACTACCTATCCAGTGTGGCCGAAGCAGGTACTATGTCCGGAGTGGTGATCTCCCCGGATATCTTTGGAGGTGGAGGGAAGCTTTTCGTTGGAACGCCCATTGACGGAAAGTCGGAGTACTTCCCAACCTTGTCAAGCAGGAAGCTGATGTCCAATGAGGAGAACGCTGATATGTTTAGCTTTGTCTACCAAGATGAGTTTGTGTCATCGCAGTTGAAAATTCCTTCGGACACGCTGTCGAAATTCCCAGCGTTCGACATCTACTACATCTACGGTTTTAACAGCGAGCAGTTTGTGTACTATCTCACCCTCCAACTGGACACTCAGCTTACCTCTCCAGACGCCAGCAGTGAACAGTTCTTCACATCCAAAATCGTGCGTCTTTGCGTTGATGACCCCAAATTCTACTCGTACGTTGAATTCCCGATTGGTTGCACGAAAGACGGCGTGGAATATCGTTTGGTTCAGGATGCCTATCTTGCCAAACCTGGAACTCGCTTGGCACGCTCCCTAGGTATTCCGGAACACGAGGAGGTCCTATTCACAGTCTTCGCCCAGGGTCAGAAGAACCGCGCCAAGCCGCCCAAGGAGTCTGCGCTCTGCCTATTCACGATGAGGAAGATAAAAGAGAAGATTAAGGAGAGGATTCAGTCGTGTTACAGAGGGGAGGGGAAACTGTCACTACCCTGGTTGCTGAACAAGGAGCTAGCCTGCATCAACTCGGTAAGTGTCTCCCACAAGTGTTTTGGTGTTCATCAGACGCTTTTAAAGTGACGCTAGGTCTGATTGTGGAGTGAGCAGGAGATTGCAGTTAAAAATGTTTGGCAGGAAAACATCATTATCAAGTCTGAGTGCTTTTGATGTGTTTTTGTGCCCTGATTATAGAAATTAGTAGAAATATAGCTGTTTGAGTTGGATAATGACGACTTCTCGTTTTTAGCTTGCTTGTGGTGGATGTTTCAGTCACCATTGTTTGGTTTGATTCTTTTGTGACCAGTGGCTCAGAATTAGATTGGTGTGCTGTTGGCATGGTTTCTACTGCATTAAAAAGAGTCAAAAGCAATAACTAAAGGTGCACTATGTAACTTTTCTAGGGGGGAGGTCCATCACCTGCTTGTCTCCATGGAGATTATGGCATTTATTCAATTACATGTGTTTTATTGTTAATCAGTACCTTGAAAAACATGTATTCTTACTGTAAGCGGGCTCATCTCTCCATGGATCTAACCTGTAACTTCACCATTGCTTGTCTCCATGGAGATAAATAAGTTTAATGACACACTGGTGAATGGTCCAGTGCAAAGCAATGACATCTCCATGGAGAAAAGCAGGTGATGGATTCCCTACCAGAAAAATTACAAAGTGCACCGGAGAAAGAAGTCAAAAAAATTTCAAATACAAATGAAGAACTGACTGTGGTATTTTGGCTTAGTGCCGTATACTTGATTTTCTTTATTAATACAGCATGGTCAGCATTTACCATTTTGACATATCCATACATTATTCACTGATAAAGGTCCATTTATGTCCTGGCCAAATCTTTCCAGCTGTTCTATACCTTACATCACTTCAGACAGAAAATCCTCAACATATGTTTGGTATTTGCTCACATATGGAATAGCATTCTCTCAGGACCCATCCACACTGCTTTGTTGTATATACGTAAAGTAGATTAGATGCTGTTACTATATGCAAACCCCAATGAAAATTAATGGCAGTCTTTCCATCCAAAGTTGAATATACAAAAAAGAAGCCAAAATGGGAAGAAAAACAAACTTGAAATTTCGAAAAGTCCAGTAAAAGTAGTTCAATTTGGGGGTTTGTTCATAAAATGCACATTTGCCAATACTTTTTTCAAACTCTCTTCAGCACCACAATGTTTGTCTTGGAATCTCAAGATGAAAAAACAAAATTTAGAACTTAGCTTTACAAAATTGGCTTGGAATTTTGAAAAACCTTGCAAAAGCAGTTTCCTTTGGGGTTTAGCTGATTTAATACAGACTGTTGCCAACACTTTTTCAGACTATACATATATAAAATTGGACATAGCTGACCCGCTGACCACTGCGTTCCAAGTAGGAAGTGTTCATGGGTGTGCTTCTGGCTCCATCAACTTTGTTTCCAATTGACTTTACACAGAAAAATTGTTACCTCTCTATTAAGCTGCTCCACGTGATCATGGTGTTTTTATTTCACAAATTCCTATTCCTAATATGGAACTGGCTCCAAATTCGCCCCCATAACAGTCAGCATTGTGAGCCTCATATGACTTGTCCACTTCTTACATCTATGGCTGTACCCCACCTTAGCATAGAAAAACCACAATTTGATTATTACAAGTCTGCCTTCTGTATGTGCGAGCAGCAACACCAGCCTTGATAAAGGTTAAAGTACACTGCAAACATGAACTGCTAAGTCTGATTATGACATTACATGGGGTTGGATTTGACATTGTTCATAAAACACTCTTAAACCAAATTGAATTACACAGTTCACCACCAGGCCTAGATGCTGCCCCATTTGTACATTAAATCAAATGTAGTTAAATATCTAGACACCATAATCAGACAGTATTGATTGAGTCTGGGGAACAGGGGTCATGTTTCCCTGCATCTACTGCAAAATTCCCGGCTGGCTGCAGGTGGAGGAAGGCTTGTCTTTCTACTGGTGAGAGGAGGAGATGGTCCAGGGGTAGGATGACCATCTCAAAATGTAGAAAAACTGGGCCAAGATGTTTAAAGTAGTGGGACATGGACTCAACAATTTAAGATTATAGATAATAACTAGAGATGTTATTTTTTTTGTTGTTAGTTTTTTTGTTGTTTTTTTTTTGTTTGTTTTTTTGGCAGATGTAGATACCAATTAGTTAGTATCCAAAGAAACTAACAGCCGCTAAGTAGTTTTGGGTCAATAAGTTGGGCCAATATTCATAATTTTCCTAATTTGAACTGAGTGCAAATACATCCATTATCTAGTTTTACTTTAAACCGGTCAAGAGAGCAGTGTGGTCGCATTTTTGCAGTACCCTCTTTGGACTAAAATGTTCTAATAAAGCTTTATGCATTTATTATTTATGCATGTTTAGGCAGCTGATTGGGCCAATCAAAATCAGCCTCTGCTGGAGATCAACTCAATATTTTGACCAAACCATATTTTGGTCTATCTCTCATAACTGCAAGAACACCGTATGATGATCAGTTTTTATCGTAAAACACAGACTGATCGGAGTAACAATAGATTCCAACAGCTTTGAATTAATGAATCTATAAATCTCACTTTTTGCAATATCATAAACAAGTGAGACATTTTTAAATATTTGGGATAAGAGACAGTGACCTAAATGGCTGTGCAGGAAAACCAAAAGACGGACAAGTGGTCACCCTATCCAGAGGTGTGGGAGAAACACAGTGTATATTTCATCTGTGTCTGTCACCCGTTTTACTCTCTCTCACACACACACACACACACACACACACACACACACACACACACACACACACACACACACACACACACGTACACACACACACACACACACACACACACACACACACACACACACACACACACACACACACACACACACGCACACCACATGCACACTCACGCTCACATGCGCACACACACACACACACTGCTCATGCATTATTCAGCCCCTCTCACCTTCTGTTACTCAGTGGCTGCACCATAACAAGCTGCCATAAATCTCCGGACTATGCTCTTCCTCCCGGTCTCTATCCTCATCTTCCTCCCTACATCTGCACTGCTCTGCCGTTTAGCCGTTAGCATGTTTGTTTTAGCGTGATGATTTGCTCCTGTTTTAATTAAAGATGTAAGTGATTAATTGTGACGCCGTTACTTGCCATTAGGAAATGTTGAGGATTAAAACTGCAGCAGACATTCAGCAAAAAATAAAGATGTGAGTGAACTTTGAATCAGATTAAAATGTATATTTTTTGGAAGCTATCAATATTTACAAGACATACCTCAAAGCATTTAGATGTTAACAAGAATGAGAAATTATGGAGATAATGTGCAGGGCATGTGCAAAGAGTGTGCTATTTTTTATTTATTTTTACTATGCTATGACCCACATTTGTTTTAAAGGCTGTTTATTACGCAAAACTGTCTCTTGTAAGCCATGTTATATTGTTGTTAACTCATCATAAACATACCCATTGTGTTTTATTTCATTCACAGGGCGTACACTATTTTTGGCCCTTTTTGAGACGATTTTTCACTTGTGCGACAGTTTTTGGGATTGGATTTTGTCTTAATCGTGTGTCGTGCTTCATGTAGTCAGTGTTGGGAAGGTTACTTTTAAAATGTATTCCCCTACAAGACACCAAAATGTACACACACCAAAATGTAGGTTGTAACGGAATCCATTAAATTACTTAAAGTGAGTAACGTAATCTGAATACTTTGGATTACTTGATTTGCTGTAGAGAAGCAAAGACAAGGAAATCTTCACATAAGATGTTTTGTCTGATAAAAGAAAATGAAAAGGCAGAGTCTTTACTTAACCGTATTAAAAATGTTAGAATGATAGAATGATAGAAGACGAGGAGACACGGTCCGCGCAGCATGGTTTAGTCCTGTTAAATCCTGTTTTAGACCTGGTTTAGTCCTGGTTTAGTCCGGTTTAATCCTGTTTAATCCTGTTTTAGACATGGTTTAGAATTGGTTTATACCTTGTTTAGACCTGGTTTTAGTCCTGCTTTAGTCCTGGTTTAGTCCTGGTTTAGTCCTGCTTTAGTCCTGGTTTAGTCCTGGTTTAGTCCTGGTTTAGTCCTGGTTTAGACCTAGTTTAGACCTAGTTTAGACCTAGTTTAGACCTGGTTTTAGACCTGGTTTAGTGTCCGGCGATGAGTGGAATTACCGAGGGAAAAAAAAAAAGAAAGGGGATATAGCCCCAAATGTGAAAACAGGAAAATACCGTCGTGTAATCCATTTATTTCAACAAAGTAACTGTAATCCAATTACCACTCACTGAAACAGTAACTGTTACTGAATACAGTTACTCATAATTTGTACTCTGATTATGTAACTCCGGTACATGTAATCTGTTACTTCCCAACACTGCGTGTAGTATACATAACATAACAAGAACCGATACCAATACCAAATTTTTGTGTTAAACATACTTGAATAAAACAAAACAAAACTACAGTTATGTTTTTGATGAGGAAACATTATAACATAGATCAGAAAATAGTATAATATGGGCACTTTCATGCCAAACATAACAAGTTCAGTTGTAACTTTGTTTCCTGATCAGCCAATAGGAATCCACTATCTTTTTAAGCAGCTTGAATTTATTTCTACAATTTTGTTATCCATTTCATCTTCACAAAATAGTTTTTATACTGTTTTTTTGCACACCTTATGTTACATGTTTCTCTGTTATCATTATTTTTCTATACATAATTTAACATAACCAACAAAAGAATCTATTCCTCTTTGGCTGCATCCTTATTCAAGCTGATAAAAAAATAAATAAAATCCACCTTACGCCTTCGCCAATTTCCAACCACAATCTTTCTTTTGTATCACTCACTCAGTATTCCCTCAACTCTCCCCTCCTGACCTCATTGCTTTTTCAATTTCTCTCACCTTTGACCCCTGCTCATCTCCCTTTGCCTTGCTCTCCATTCAAACCCGTTCACCAGGCCCCTCCCCCCGCATCTGCAGTCCTTCTCCTACAGTGTTTCTCTATCTGG